AGATGATCGAACTTGAAGTACCAGCACGTCAACGTCAGCAGATCTTAGTTGACATCATCGCACAGTGTTTTTTTCTAGAAGTTCTATACAGTCAAGCATTCACTGCAGGAAGTTTTGCAATATATTCGTTTCGTTCCTTACTGTGTATAGGAAATTTGTTGTTCATTTTGTTCAAAAAAATCTACTGATCGACCACTCAAATATAAATCTAGGCTTGCTTCCGATGAAATAATTCAGACAGCAAAATATGTCAAAACACCTCTGCTGCCGTCCCTTCAAGGTTAAAGCACCGCCAGTCTCTTTCAGCAACAGCTGCGATGTCTACTCCCTCCAAGCCAACGGTCGTAAAAGAACGGTGCGATTTCATACGATGGACAAAAGTATTTTCCTTGGCGTTCGAACTGGTCTCATTTCGATGCAACACAAGAAAGTGTCCATGAATAGCCATTTTTCAAGTTTCATGGAGCGGTGGCTCGTTCAAACAGTCAACTACGAAGCTATAAGCAAAGGAACCGTACACAATATTCCACGATTCTCTGTGACAGTATTTGTGTCAACCAACTCTTGTTGGTTTTTAAGCAGAATTTTTCAAATCGCTTACGAGTCAAAGGCATTTTCGTTTGTGCCCCGAGCATTAAAATTGCTAGAACCACAAATCGACCGTTAATGGGATGAACAAGCATGTTGATTATCGTGATGCTACTTTGTACTATCACTATCGGCGTTCAAATACCATAGAGCCCTGGCCTGTTTAAAGAGCCTCTTATGCTTGCAAAAGCACAAAGATGGTGCACCTTTGCCCATAGCCATGTGTAACCACTGGTATGAGTCACTGTATTCGGTATTATTCACGCAAACTACTACTTCGCAGAAGGTTTATGTGCTGAAATGCGCAATACCTCTACACAGTTGCCGCAAACCATTCAAGGCTAAAGTGTCAAATATTTTTACCTTAAGCAATGTCTGCAGGGTCGGCTCAGCTTTCAGCACCAAGGTTACATTTGGTTGATTATCAGGCGGTGTCTCCACCAGGTTGTACTTCTCCTTGTTGCTGGAAAGTCACAACGTGAAACAAGCGTCAAATACTCATCGTCACACTTTACCGTTCCTCCATTAAGACGTTAACGTCAGAGTCTGAAATTAGCCCCAGTTTCGAAAACTCCTGCAGCAGAAAGTGAAACGTATCGCATCTCAAAGAAAACTCAATCAGATCCGAAGGAATAACTATGATCGTGTGAGTTCATACCTTGATTTCAGATCAGCATTGTTGAATAGCGTGTGAAAACCGGCCACTTTGAATAACGCACTGAACAGCACTTCCGTTGGTACTTCGTTCGAGCAAAGATGCTGGACAACGCGAGGAAGCTAAGAATAAGGTACGTTAGGCAGGAGGTGAATTAGCTTGGCTTAGACAATGTCTACCCTCAGATATGTAAATGCGGTAAAATGAGAATCCGGAATCGACGAAGTAGTGTCGAGTTCGAGGAATACAGAGCCTCGAATGAGATCAATGATAATTTCCTCCCATGAGAGAATCTAAGACACACCGATACTGAGAAATTAGCAATAACATGAAAGTTTAATAAATACCTGCACTTCTTTAACAGACCTTACGGCAAATACGAATGATTCTAAAGTATCAGCAAACAACACGCTGCCATACAACACAGCCATCGATATGACGGTAGGCACTGCCTCACGATTATTCTTTCGGCAATAAGGCAATTCGACTTTTTCTTCAGAGCAGTACTCTTCCAAACTCAACAAAATATATTATGGACTGTTTAAAATTATAAACCATGTTAAAAAATACTTTGAGATCCTGTGTACAAACGCTGCAAAGTCTGATTTGACCGTTTCCGATATCTGGCCAACGTTAATGAGATTTGAGCAGACAACCGCAGCATGTTCACACAGTATTTTGAAATCACCTAAAATTTTCCAGCAATTGAACTAATGACCTTCCAAACTGAATTGGGAGGTGAAAATGAGTTGAAAGACTTTCGTGTAAAACGTGTTCATTTGTTTCAGTTTTCTAAAGTTCGTGTCTATTCGTCGCTGGGAGGAAAAAGAATATTTAGAGTTCTGAACTCATAAAAAGAATTTAACAGCAAACCAATGTTTCGCACTGTCAACATGCAGCGTTCCTTTTCGATGGCGAAGGGAAATGTCAATTCAGCACTTTGGCTGAATCTTCCACCCGCTATTAGAATGACTGGAATGATTTTTATTGGAAGACCCCTGAAAGACTAACCATATTTTACGAAAACTTTTTTAAATCGGTTTAATATGTCCAGATGCTAGGAGCACTTTTAATAAAATCATCACTAGAACTAACTAGTATTGCGTTTCTACACCATCCTTCCACCTCAGAATATTGAGACCGAAAAAATAAAAAGATTGAACGCCAACTCGTACAAGAATAAATCAAATTATGGAAATTAATTTATGTTAATCACTGTTCATAGCCAAGTAAGCTGTAAACGTACCAACTGCTTGTATGTCGAAAACGTCTGCTACTGCCGACAGTCACACTGTGGTACAAAGAAATAAACTTTGAAGTTTACAACTGTATGTATTAGTCAGACTCCGCCCCAATCAATATTGCTTACAGTGAGCTCTAAAGGTACAAAGCCTTAGTTCATTACTAACATTAACAGCCAACTTCCATTACATTCCGTACATTCGTCAAACAATGATAGGTTCTACGAAAGTTCTCATCGCAAACGTGGAAACAATGGAACAAACGTGGAAAAGTAACAGATATAAATTAAATATTGCATAATAAGCATTTTTTAATTAATTCATTAACAACCATTCGCTATGAGTTATAATATGACCATTAGAAATTATTGTTATGCCAGCTATCATTATTATCATTATTACTAGTTACTAGTAATCATCATATCGCTTACCTAATGAATTACTATTAATAACTGAACACGCGATAGCACTTCCTTATACGCGAAATAATATCGTTTGGAATGATACAAAGTGATAAACTAGCATAAAAATTCCAATAATACTTTTTCACGCAACTCTACCATTTCGCAATATATTATGCTCTGCCTTTAAAATATCGCCCTCATTGCTAATGGCAAACAAATGGGAGTCAGCGCCGCACCATATACTCGGTGAAGTGAAGAGGATCGAACATGATCCTATTCATGAAACTGTTATCGAGTTCCTCAACATTTTCTCGTTGAACGAACCATTGTACAAACGGTGGCGTTGTACTTTTATTATGAAATTTACCTACTTGTGACTTCCAAGATGGCATTACAGCGGTACCTCGAGTCAGGAACGCCTCTAATCACGAACAACTCGACCCACGAACACAATTTTCAAACAAACTTTGACTCGACCTGCGTACAATGCCTCGACGCACAAACGCACAAACATGACTTTGGGGCAAGCAGACAAAAGCCCCCGTGAATAAAATCAAATTTTGACTCCATGCTCGCACAATGCCTCGGCGCACGAACGCCTAAACATGACTTTGGGGCAAGCAGTCAAAAGCCCCCCCCCCGTGGACGATAACCCCCGGACCGGTCAAAATCTGTACAGTGGTGTAACGAAGCCTAAGCGTA